AAGTTATCATCAAATCAATATCAACCCGATTAAAATGTATAGGATTTTACTGGGAAGGGTCGTTTGCATGCATGAGTAGATGAATTAAAAGATTGGAGATTTACCATAGGTTTCAAGATAAAGATATATTTGTTGCCAAAGACTCTGCCAATTCGAGCTTCCCATCTCCCATTGTGATGATGCCTATTGATCAATATTTTCCAATATATTCATTAGGAAACAAGAACATGTACATAATCTCATCGAATCATCATGTACACCCTCTCATCACATAAAAATTAAAAAGCTCAATATAATTTTATTTTTTTTTGAGACATAGGAAATATTTCGCTTCTAGTCATTGGTGGAGTCAAAATTGTTACCTAAATTATGATCATGACAAGATGAGTAAGATGACCCTCTATAGTGATTTGCCCACGGAACTTGTGGAAAATATTCGAACACATTTTCCGCTCGATCTTGCCACGAAGGCTGCTGCTTGCTGTTATCATAAACAATTACAATAACATCGTATGTAGTAGGCCAATTTCTTTGAAATATTATTGTCTTACTTGTAACTAGACTTTTATTTTGTTATTGATCTTTTTAAATGGCATGGGTAAAGTATAAACCTAGGTGCTGGGATTTGCCTATAGAACTTGTGAAAAAAGATCATAACACATTTTCAGCACGATCTTGCCACAAAGGTTGCATTAGTTTCCAAGAGATTCGTCAACTCTTGAAAGTTGAGTTGTCATCCTAGTTAGGCTAGCTTTGACGAGCACAAACTATCTAATCATCGTCTAGTTTCATTTGTAGAGTTTGTTGCTCGCATCATGAATCAGCATTGTAGTTCAAAAATAGAAATTTTTCATCTAAAGAATGAGCAATTGAGCACCGTACTGAAGACGACATTTTAATTTGTAACGAACTGGATTTCTAATTTTCTATGACGAGCTAGGAATCAAAAAGATTAGCAAGTTTATCCTTGTATTTCAGTGCATAGAAACTATTGTGAGTTCTGTTATGCAAGTTGTGAGTTTTAGTTTCGACCAACTGATTAAAACGAGTAAAATTGACGTGCATGAAATGCATAATATAATTTATAATAAAATGAGAAATAATTTATACGCATTTCTGCTTAATGATACAAATAAGATATTTCAAGAAGAAGAAGAAGAAGAAGAAGAAGAAGAAGAAGAAGAAGAAGAAGAAGAAGAAGATTGCTCATCAACGATCGAAGATGCATTACAGGTAAATTTGATTCGATGATTTCCTACCTTCAGTTCACTAGAACTAAGAAACATTTACTCAACTAAAAAAACTTTTCCATAATTCTCAAGAATCAAATAATTGGAATGTCTATGGTCAAGGCTCCTTAGCCTATCTAAGATTGCAATGCAAAGAGTAACATTACATCAAATAAAAATACACATCAAAAATTGATCCAATTAGTTGATTAAAATAAACTCACCACCTCATTTTTGCATAATTTAAAGCGTTGCTTTCATGCGTACATTCTGATTTATATTAATTTAATCTTATTCGCTCTTTGAAAGAGAAAAGTTGTTCCTACTGTCTAATTCTACACAATTATAATTTTTTTTTTTAAAAAAAAAACGTGTTCCCAAGACATAAACTGTAAAAAAAAACATGTCCGGTGTAATCAGATCTTGGAGGGGACAATTTTTACCATTTATTTCTTTTCTTCTTTTCTTTTTTTTTTAAAAAAAGATTTTTATTAGGCATATTTTATTTGAAATTGAAAGTCTCTTCATAGTTATAAATGATTGAGGCCGGTATTTCTTTTCTTTAATTTGAGGGACATTATGGCCTTGTTACTGATGATTAAAAATACCAAAAAAAAAAAAACAAAACAAAAAGACAAAAAAAAAAAAAAAAACCCACACCCTAGCAACTGAAGACCATCAAACTATCTATGTATCTAGTTTTGACCAGATCCAGGGGCCTCGGAATGATACGGATCAGGCAATGACGGGAAGTCACTTGTCTCGCCTTCGGCAACACCGACACCACCACTGCTTCCGACAGCATTAGATCAACTACAAAAGTACTACTATAAATTCAGAGGACGGGAACACTACTGAAAAACTCTCGTTACATTAAAGTCATAAGAAACCGGCAGGCAGGCAGCTAATTAAAGGTCAATGAACTCAATTCGCACGAACTCCAAAAACCTCAAAAGAGTTTTTTTAAAAAAAAAGGCTGTGGTCATGATGTAAATCTAGTGGGCGATACGTTCCAACTGGCTTTGCAAGAGATAGTAATTATGGTGAAAGACAAGCGTAAAAAGGGTTATTGTGCATACCTTTGACTCATTTCAGAGGCACAATTTGTATAATTTACTCAATAACTCGGATTTTCTTTTTTTAGGAAATATATGGAACTAATTAAAAACATAGGTATGGACGTAGCAATGTGAAGCGTGGTGAAAAAGTACTAGATGCATTGTTCTTATGTTTTCGAAAAATTTTTGTTAGTCAAAGAGCTAAAACAGTAAGGAAATTCAAACGGAAGCAAAAAATTAATGGTATTTATAGATTTCGTTTTTTAGAAAATAAAATTCCTATAGAGGAATAATTGATATAATCAAATTAAATTGCAATGATAGTGACAAGGTGTTTCATTTTTTATTTTTTTTTTGAGATGAATGCACAACATTCTAGTTCAATTTATTTACATATGACATTTATATTTTTTTTTTCTAATTGGAGAATTCAATGAACACATTTTTAGATGTCTAAATACCGTTCTTTATTTTTCCCCATTTCTTCTGTATTTTAATGAATGATTCTGATAGGGTTATTGGAAGTGCAAAACGATGCAATGCTTATTTTCTGTATTGAAAGATCAATAAAATTATGTCATGGAGATTAATAGTAAAAGTATTACCATTTTTTTAATACAAATGCCACTTAAGGATCATTAAATTTATAAGATTGAGTTTAATTAATCCTTCTCATTTTATAAATAAAAAAAATTACAAGGAATCGCTTATTTCTAACATATGCACAAATGATGCACGATGTAAACAAACTAGAATTGTGCTCTTATACTTCCATGGATAGGTGCCATCGCCCCAAGGTTGCACGCATACATCGATCTAAATGAAAGATGAGTTCAAGACCAATTCTCGAAACCATATTAATTCTAGTAAATCCGCAATGGATATCTGTAGGTGAAATCTACAATATTTTTAATGATTGAAAGCTCAAATTTACTTCTGAAAGCAAAGTAATTAGCAAGGAAACGAGTGCCGCATAAAAATTATACAGTATCAAGTTATTGAACAAATTTATAAAAATAGCATGCATGATACTGTTCTCAGCAATTTTTTGTTGTAGTTTTGATTCTCCAGACTTGTTTGGACAGTCCGTACGTAATTGTAACTAGTCATGAAATTAAATCTTTACAAAAAAAAAAAAAGCCCTTCACACAAGAAAGGAATTATTTTAAAAAAATTTTTAAAATTGCTAGTTCCAACAACATCAACGTATATCAACTTTTATTTTGAAGTTGTCTTTTTCCGCTCGATCTTGCAGCAACTTGTAGAGGAGATTATATCCCATTTCCCGATTGATCTTGCCACGATGGCCCTCAAATTCCACTGTTCCACTTCATCTGCAATCCTTTCCCCGCTGCCGAGAAACGCCATCGCATACTTAGAATTCTCCAGGATGTCAAAAACCTCAGCTTTCCTCCACCCTTTGTTCACCCGACAAAAACCCTCCACGGCTCCACCACATCTCTACACTTGTTTCCAAGAGATTAGTCAACTCTCGGAAGTTGAGTTGCCGTCTTAATTTTGAAGAACACATACTATTTAATCTTCGTCTACGTTCCTTTGTAGTATGTAGAATTTGCTACTCGCATCATACACGTGAAAAGTAAGATTATTCCTAAATCATACTATTAATCATATAAAAAAATAACACAAACATGAAAACGAGGAACGAACCTTACGCTCAAAACCATACAACCACTTTGTACCAAAAAAAAAGGAAAAAAAAAAACCGCACAACCACTTATCAAAATAAAGCAAATTATTTGAAAGTAGAAAAGAAAGAAAATGTACTCTTTCCGTCCCAAAATTATTATTCAATTTTGGATATCATTTTTAGCATAAATTCAACTGAAAATAAAAATCTAAATTCTACAATAATTTTTAGACAGAAAGAATAATAAACGTATTCGATATGGGTGAGATCTAAGTAAGCCCTCTATCTTAAAGCGGTGGAGGCATAATGTGCTCGAAATGTGCCAATTTAACTCAGATTGATGCAACTTGCAAACATAGCATGTTCTTCGGTTTGTGCCAAGTGTGATATACATAATCCTTCAATCATATTCCTCAGGCAAAAATTAAACTAAATTTAATTTAAATTTGTGCACGAAAATGATCAAAGATGTTAAATCAGTTTGGATGTCATTTTATTAAATTAATCACTGGAGATGAAAACATCACACACACAAACAAACATATATTATATGTAGCAAATTAAGAAAGAGAACAATATTTTTATTTTTTTGATTCTTTTCTTCCTAGGGATTTGAAACTCTTGGATATTGTAGTCCAATCACATCATATATTCCACTTAAATATATTAGCTACTAAATTACTTCTCGTTCTACCCAATAGAAAAATCGTTGATTAAATTTCCTGAGTTGGGTGCAAGCGGTGAGCATGAGTTTTTACGTCGAGAAAACCCTAATTTTTCCCAAAATTTTGCAGTCATAAGCATATTACAGTGTAAATATGCAAGTATTTCCCTTCAAAAGTGTTCATCATTGTAAAAGTAGTTCGTCCGGCACAAGGTAAAAAAAAAAAGAACTTATTAGTTCATCCATTATCATAAATAACAAATATTGCATGGCATATTTATTCTGTATCTACAAGAAAAAAAAAAAAAGCAATCTTGATGAATTAATAGTGACTCTTTGTGTTCCAAAGTATTAGTCACTAGCTTGCTCTACCTTACAATTTTTTAAAAAATAGGAGATGAAAATAATACAATTAAAAAAAACAGAAAATGTTGAAATTAAGAATACCTAATTAACAAAACAACTGAATGGTGCCGATTTCTGATTCATTCCCCTTAAAGATCAAAGTCAAACTGCATCATAGGTTGCATGAACGGGCTAATTAGCTCGCTGAAAATATCCTCATGTCCTTGGTCGAGGTAGCTACCCAGTTCTGGGGCCGTGAAGAAAGTCTGTACATCGTCTGGAATGCTACTGCTACATTGTGTCGGTTCGGATTCTGAAGGGGTTGAAGCGGTCAAAGGAGGACACTCAGCTGTCATTGTCATCTCCATCATTTCCTTGAATTTCGAGGATTGGAGTAGTAGCCCTAGCGCCGATGTCGCTGAGGCTGGCCGCGACTGAGCAGTTAAGGTTATTTCTGGGATGTCGGAATATGGCTGCATTTTTAGTTCCTCGTGATGATGTTGTTGTTGTTGTTGATAATGAATATTGGAAATTGGAGCTAAGATTTGATCTGCGGTTGGCATGATCGGGCTAATAATATTAGGGTTAGGGTTAGGTTCGGGATGAACAATGGCGTCTGTGTTGATGGCAGTTGTTGCTGAGGAATTAGGTCTTAGCCATTTTATGTAACGACTGAGGTCGAAATTAGTTACAGCGTTGAGTCCTCGGTATTCAATGGCAGCCATGTCATATGCAATTGCAGCCTCTTCTTGTGTAGCTGAAAAAGGAGTGAGAATAACTTCATTTTATTTCAGAATAAGTGACAGCGTATATCATAAAAATATTTCTCTGGTTCCCAAAAAACAAAAACAAAAAAAAAACAACAACAACAATACCCTCCATTGAATTGATTTGTATAGACCTGTTTTATTTAACAAATAACACTCCTTTCCTCCTAATTCTATCCATAAAGACCTATTAATTGAACTAAAGTAAAACCTTTTTTTAAAATAAAAAAAAAAAAAAACAGAGTAAAATAACACTCCTTTCCTCCTAATTTGAAAGTAGTCCACGATGGAAATATATAACTTCTTAACTTCAACTAGTATCCATTTTATACTCTAAAACTTTAAAATCTATTGTTACTTATATCCTTCAAACTAATAGCACTGTGCTAATTGCGAGTTTACGGGATGCACAAATTAACGTTCCTTGTTTTACACTAGCTAGTAGAAGATATTAATTAGGGAAGTTTCTTTATCGCAAGTTTTTGTAAAAGTAGATCGATTTTTAGTGGATATACTAGCTAGGGCAGCTCTCCGAACAGATCAAGATTTGTAATCCTATCTGTAAACACATGGGTTTGATTTAATATAATGCATTAAAAAAAAAAAAGATTCAGATGGTACAATTTTAATGTGATGCTAAATTGTTACGAGAGTATTTCAGTATTACTCTTTGAAAATAGATTAGTTTTTAGGACAAATTTTTTTATGAAACTGGATTTTTTTTTTAAGTGGATAGACTACAAAACATCTAACAATATATATATATATATATAATACACGAGATAAACATCTAAATTCACTCATTTCTGAGTATTTAAACTCTAATAAATCATGTTCCAACTATAGTTTAACACCTAATTAATAGTGCAGCCCGCGATACCAGATATTCAAAAACAAAATACTAACTCCGTCTCTAAAAAATAGTTCACGTTGAGTTTTCAAATTTGTAATAAAAATAGTACAAAATTCAAAATTCAATGTAAACTATTTTTGTGAGACGGAGGGAGTAATTTACGGCAGATCTAATTTTTATTTTAGTACGAGAAGAGGAATTACTTTTCCATGCATATTCTAGTATCCCCTTCCTCCTTTTTAACGAATCTTCCAACAATGTGGACAACTAGATATAGTTGGTGGAAGTTTTCCAACTAGATGATGGTGACTAACGTTAGATGACACTATCATCTGTTTGTTCCTCTTTTAGGTTACCAAACAACTACCTTCGAAAAAAAATGACTTGGTTTTCATACTAAATTATGACCTTACTACAATACTAAATTATTAGCCTGATCTGGACAGGCAAGGGAATGAGGGGGAGAGAAGACGAAAGTTACCATCAAATCAACATCAAACCGATTAAAATATATATGATTTTACCGGGAAGGATATCGAAGGTCGTTTGCATGCATGAATAGATAATTTACTTGGACATTAATTTTTTTAAAAAAATTGAAGGATATTTACCATAGGTTCCAAGATAAAGATATTTGTTGCCAAATACTCTGCCAATTCGAGCTTCCCATCTCCCATTGTGATGATGCCTATTTATCAATATTTTCAATATACTCATTAGGAAATAGGATTTTAACATGTACATAATCTCATCGAACCATCACATACCCACTCTCATCACATATAAATTTGCAAATTTAATGTGTGTGTGTGTGTTTTTTTTTTTGGACAGAGGAAGTATTTCGCTTCTAGTCATTGGCGGAGTCAAGATTGTTACGTAAATTATATAGCGATGAAATGAAGAAAAATCCAGGAACTAGATAAAGTACATACCTCGCAACACCTCGGTACTTTGACACACCACGAGAGAAACCACTGCTTTTCCTTCGTAATGATCCAATGTATTCTTCTCTAGACTGGCCTTCCATGTCTTTCAACTCTTTATGGTAGGTTGCCAACTAAAAATAATACAAATTAACGTATGCTAATTAGCTACTTACCTTCGATTAAATAAAATCATTTTTTCCGTCCAACTTAATATGTGTTAATGGTGTATTTTTAATAAAATTGAAACATTGGTGTTTCACAGTTGATGATCCCAAACCAAAAAAAAAAAGGAAAAGGAGACAGAAAACCATCTAATAATCGATACGTAATATCAATGAAAATGTCAACAGAAGGCCTATGTAGTATAAACTTACCGGAAAATTAAGGATGGTGTCTTGACCCCAATACTTAAGGGCAGCCAAGTCGTATGCATGTGCAGCTGCTTCTTCATCATCGTAAGCACCTAAAGAAAAAAGCAAGAACAAAACCACAAAATGAACTCTGCTTGTCACAATGTGCAAGAAATTGTTGAGAAAATAAACGGAACAATTAGTTCAAGGAGAAGATAATATGACGGTGGTACTATGTATATTTTGTGTGATCAAATTAAAAAGCCACTGTTTCTTTTTTCCTTTTATCAATCCTTAAACAATATTAACATTAATAATCATGAGTACTTACCAAGATAAACTGCAGTTCATTGAATTCCAATTTGCACCATCATTAGGGAAGCATAAAATGAACCACAAAATGGAAAATTGGTCAGCTTTCTATGCTGGAAAAGACACCATAAAAAAAAAATAAGAAAAATGAATTTCATCAAACCTTGTCTGCCTTTCTTGTTCTGAGACTCATTCCAGCAATTCTTATCCCATAAATGAGCTTCATATCTTCCAGTCCATCGATGCCTGAAGCCATGATCACAATTTCCACATTTAACTCGCAAACAATAAATGGAAAAAAAAAAAAACCTTAAATATATATAATATATATTCACGAACCTTGTGACGCCACGGTAAATTGAACTACGTTGAGGAGGAGAATCCCTGGGTACAGTTTTCCTGGTTCTCTTTACTTTCAATGGCGTGTTACCATTAGCATTTGAAATGGCAGTAGCATTGATATTTGTGGCATTTGAGTTGTTCTTTTGGCTTGTTTTCGTCATCTCGGTTCGATACGGAAAAAATTATTGATGGAATTACGGCTAACTAACAAGTAGTGATGATTTTTGTTAGAGAACTAAAAGGTAATAATTAGGGTACAAACTTGAGTAAGTCCTAAAGACTGAGTCTCCCAATGACTGGCTTTATAAAGGGATCAAAAATCTCAAAAAGGCTGGAAATTTTTGAGAGGGAAATAGCCGGCAAAAATAAAGGGGATTTGGGGGTGTGCTAACTAACTGCTAACTGGATTTGTTGCCGTCTTGAACCGGCATGTATGGTCTTTTCTCAATTGTCTTCTGGCTAATTTTTATAGCTAGATTTTGTATTTTTATATATTAGATGCAACAACTCAAAATATATTTAATAATATTTTAATTTGTACGGTTAACTTTTTGTCAAGTTTTCACTGATGTAACAATGTTTTTGGTCTATTTGATAACTTGTAGTCGACAGGGGGTTTTTCTTAGCTTGCATATGTGAGGGGTATATGTTAAAATCAATGATATCATGAGAAAGACTCCATTTTTTAATGGTTGTTTAACATTCCTTTAGTTCTTTCATAAATGTTAAAGAAAGAATAAAAGAAAAAAAAATAAGAGAAAGAATGAAAGAAAAAAATTAAGATGGCTCAAGTGTAATCCCAATTGAACTGGAATCAAATGAAACTGGCTTTCAAATTCATATTCTTTTTTTCTGAAATAATTGTTGTCTAATTTAAATTTTTAATATTAATATAAGTCATCTATATTGTTGTCTAATTTCTAATTTTGTCTAATTTTTAATTGTTGTCTATATTTTTGTTCCGAAAATATAAGTTTTACAATTATTTTAAAACAAAGAAAGAGTAAATATTGATGGACGAATAATTGAATGTGTATGCACTATGTAGGGCCAGGGGGGAGAAAAATAGTTCCAACCACACGCGTGCATGCATGCAAGTTAAAACTTTTGATTAGATGATAAGGTCTATAAAATATTATGGTTATGATGTTTGATGTAATGATGTCTTTTGTTACAACTTACCCTTAAATTAATTAATCATTGTGCACTACATATTGGGCACCTAGAATTCAAGTAAATAAGAATTTTGGTGGGTGCGCTTTTTTCCCCCTTTTGTTTTGGTGTAAGGGAGACAAATTAGTTTTTTTTTTAAAAAAAAAAAAACACGTCATGCATTGCACATTTCTCTTGTTTTCCGTTTTATTTTTGCCTCTTTTATCAAGAGTTTCAATCTCACGTATCAAATTATTCTCTAAAAACTCGTCCGAAAACTTGTATATAGAGAAGGATTCTCGTACCGACTTTGCTGCCTCGCGCAAAAGATATCAAGAATTAGCTAGTTTGCACTTTGCACACTTACTCAAGACCAAAAAAAAAAAAGACACAAACACTCTTATAAATTCTTTTAATTTGTTCTAAGCAATTGTCATTTTCGGATATGGATATGATCAAATAGTATAAAGGAAAATTTTTAAAGACAATTTTAAACCTTAATTTTGTATTGAGTCATGGTTTATATGTGAGATTGATGATTATTGGGACGCAAAATGACTAAAGGTACATCCATTAAGGATAAAACTTAAACTTTATTAATACGTACGCAATCAGATTTTGAGATGAGAAAAGGCAAGAAATAGGACGATTTTGCAAATTTTGTGTACCCGGTTCAAGTCGTTTTGGACTCATCACTTTTTTTTAGTTAATTGTATTTTTGCAAAAAAAAAAAAAAAAAAAAGTTCACGTAAAGTTGTCCAAAAAACCGTGTGGATGATTCGATTGTTCTTCCTTCTCCTCTTCTCGTAAATTGCAAAGTAAAAAATGGCTCGTTCTTCTCGTAAGGATTCACCCCTAATCATGTCATTCTTGGTTTTATTTGGAAAATGGAATACCACTAGATTTTAGTGCTGCATATTACACATTCAGTGGACATAATGTCGATTTGTATATTAATTATTAGGAGTCTCACAAACAATATTATTTTACTCCATCTTTTTAAAATAATGGTCATATTAAATATTAACCTATTTCAATTTAGATGTCGTGTTACATGCATCGTTAGCCCATTAGTTGGTGAGGATAAATTCATAAATAGAAAATACATGGAACCTAAGTGTTTAGTGTTACGAAATACGTATACTCAACGTACAGTAAAAGAACACTTCAGTTTGTACGTGTTTTATAATTAGAATCAGAGTAAATTTTTTTCAAAAGAGTAAAGACATACTTGTACTGCTCCAAAATAAGTGTTTTGTACAAGAAACCATGAAGCAACGAGGAAATGCAGCATCCAAATAATATATATACTATGTACAAAATTAGTGTACAATGTTTGTACGGAAGTTGGGAGATTATTACAAAGATTAACTTAGCCTATTGCGTATCTATTTTCGTTTGTCAAAACTTGAAGGTGGCATATTTATTATTTATTTAGGGTGAAAAACGGTGGCATAATTTTAATTTGTCATGTAAAATATAAAAACCAAGCATTCATGTAAAGAATTTTCAGTTTTTCTTTTAACAATAATTATTTGCAAAAAATGACCCACATGTAGAATGTAAATATAAGAAAAACTAATACCGTGTGATTGTTCAAAACATTTGGTTGAATTAGATCATCGTAAATTGGATCATTTCACTGTTCACGTGATTATGTTTTCAACTGTCAGCTACATCATTAAGATAATACACATCTATCTATATAATCTATATCTATATCTATATAACTTAATAAAAGAAAACCCAGAGAGAGAAAACTGGGATAGTTTTCCACTTGTCACGTAGGACTAACATTTTTCTTCATTTTCTGATTTATTAAAAAAGAAAAAAAAATTTATCTTCGATTAAAAAATTCTAAGAAAAAAGATATATTATTTAAGTAATTATCCGGTAAAAGATTCTGCTTTCAAATACTGTACTGCAAATCTTACCCGATCTTATTTTATCTTACCCAAATTTTCTATTTTGGTTGGAAGTTTTTTTTAATTTTAAATTATACTCTATTGAGTCAATCTATTAAAAATTTTGAAAGGCCATCAATTGATTTATTTTCTTACTTGAGAATTTGATGCGATGGAAGAGTACACCGCAATTTGAACACAAAGGAGAAGCTAGTGATGCTGAAGGACCACTCCATATAACAATTGATTGATAATCTGATTCGGCCATCTTCCAAATTTTTTTCCTACAAATCATGTAAGTATGCGTTCATGGATTTTCCCTATTTGTCTGTATGTTAAGTTTTTCCTAAAGAGATGACTTGTCGTGCCCTGTTGTTCCACGAGTTAAGCGATTACCCTTCGATTAATTCAAGATGAAAATTTGATACTTATAACAAAAAAAATTATAAAAACTAATTACAACTTTTCTCGATTTTTAGTTTACATATGAATGTCTTGGTAGTTAAATATTGATGTCTACATTTGATTAATGCACAAAGATTTTTTTCCAAATTTGCTTTTCCAAGAGTTATATATAGTTTTCTATGTTGTAATCAATGTTTATCTTTCATTAATATTCTAGTTTACCTTATGCTGCTAAAAAATGTAGACTTATGAATAGAGTTGCGAATGGATGCCGGACTTTCAAGATCTTATGCAGCAACTTGAATGATAATGTATATAATCTCGCATTTCACTTTGCCCACGGGTAAAAACTACCCTTTTAAAACGAAGATAATTTGATTTGGCCATCTCTTTACAGTAATGATCAATAAAAGTTACGTTCACTCTCTCTCGCAAGTTATATTATATAAACACCACTCTATTTGTGATTAATAATACTTGAAATCCATATTATGTATGTATTCATAGATATTTGTTTATAAAGTGATATTTATTTAAAGCGTGGTACTTCTATCCCGTATAAATTACAGGTAACATCTAGTGTACTAATTAAGAGGTTTGGATATTTGATACTTCCATTCCCAAAATTATTTTAAGCCTGTCCTAAATTAAGAATTTTCTTATTATATAATTTTAATTCAAAAAATTTAGTATTTTGTTTTCTCTTTCGTTAAATGGAAGATGTATTATAAGATTTTAGTCCATTTTCTTCTTAAGTATCACATATATCTCTCTTTGACCTAATTCCAATATTGATCTTTGTAGCTCTCTACTATAGTTTTTCTTTAAAAAAAAAACAAACAAACAAACAAATAATTAGATTAAAAATAAAGAAAAAAATATGGCAGCGAATATACTAAACCCTATATCAAATACAATTTTGATTTTAAAGTAACATTTAATCCTTGTTCAATCTAGTTGACCGGCCTCTGCCTACTATAGTTATAGTAACTACTGAAAGTTAGAAGCCACCTCCAATGTTTGTGAAGAATCTATCTACGATAACGTCTAAATTAATGGGGGAAGAATAATGAAAGAGACACACTTTTGCTCGGTCTTCTCAGGAAATCTACAAGCGATATTTTTGAACAAGAGTTTTTCCAAGCTTTCAATTATAAAATTAAATTTTTATTTTTCGATAGGGAGAAAAATGCAAAAGAGAAGAGTAGATTTCGCGAACCGCATATTCTTCTAACTCACCATACTCGTTCTCTTTATTAAAATGATGAAAAGTCGCTTGATGGATTAAAAAAAAAATTATATTTTGGATGGTTTTTTTTTAATTATTATTTTTCATGAGCGCGGCATATTACATGCATATATGGAGCCATATTTGGTCATGTTTAATTCAGGCCAAATTTAATAAAACTCTCTCAATATATATTTTAATCATTAATATATGGTCACAGTAAAAATAGATCAATATTTTTACCCCTTTCTCGTGCATGTTGGATGGTATATTTAGTTAACGAACGGAATTTCCTCACTCTATATTATGCATGGCATACATCTATGAGAAGTATGTTGCGAATCCTCGTGTGTTCAACTTTTCTTCAGAGACTAATTTTATCTCATTAGTTACCATATACAATTGACGCTTTTTTTTTTATCCACCCTTAATTTCTGAATTAACTGCTCCCCTCAAGATTCAAACTTAAAATATATGATTATAATTAATATATATATCCACTATATGGGTGTAATTAAAAAGGTGCTCTAGTTATAACTTCGTCAAACCTGATTAGAATACATATACATTTTTGGACTTCGGGAAGCTAAAAATGTAGAATAAAACAGAGCGTAAGCATAAATGCATCATGATATCAATAATTACTTTTTTTCTTTTAAAAGGGTTCGTACGTAGTAGTCTATACTTTTCAACTATATTTTTTCGATTAAGTTAGATTGACTCAGTTATTGAAAAGATGA